GTTTAAATTAAATCCACAACGCTCGGAGAAACAACATTAGCTCGTACTGTTCACACATAAACAAACGTTGATTCTGGTCCGCACCAGAAGTCACGCTCATAATTCACGCAGGGCAGCATGGGGGCGAGGAATAAGGTGGAGAGGTGGCATACAGGTTAGAGAATATAGGTCTGCGATCGTAAAGCTGCAGGTTCAACTCCCCAGACTGACAACATCAAAATGTGGGTGGAAAAGGTGGAACACCCACACCTGCCTCCACCCTTATTCGTTCCACTCTGGGCCCCTGAGCAAGTCCTTTAACCCCCACCATCTGCTCCCAAACAGGTCTGTCTTGAATATGAGTTCTCGAGACTCATTGAGACTACCTGGATGAATAAAGGCTAAATTAAAAATGTAAAAAAGGAGGATAAATAAAAAAAGTTTAGCCTTCCTTTGTCCACCAGAGGGCAGTAAAGAACCAAGATTAGAGTCTAGAGCAGAAGTCACCAATTAGTTTTTATCATGTCTGTGTTTGGACTCGAGACGTGTCCAGGTGTCCCCCGCCCCTCGCACAGTGATTGCTGGACATGAGCACCGGCGACCCCCGTGACCCAAAATGGAAGAAGCAGGTAAAGATAATGGATGTCTGTGTTTGTCTGTTAGCAAAATACCTTATGACTAAGAGGAGGAATATTAATCAAACAGTCATAGTAATCATTAGATATAAATCAACAACTGATTAAAAAGTTATTTGCCACATTGCGGGTCAAAGTTCAGGATCAAGATGTTTTACAATCTGCAAGTGATGGCGATGACTCTCAGCTACTCTCATCATATTTTAGCTCAAGATCTGTTAAAACTGAATCATCAACGTTGTTGTTTCTAACGTCAGTTAACTGTGGCGGCCATCTTGATTTGTGTTGACTCCAAACAGCTTGGATGAAGTATACCCGGTGGCTCGTGATATATTTAGCTGAGACACATGCAGTTACATGATTGCCCATCGTTTGTGGTGACGGGGGATGAACATTTAGACAATTTTTAAATGAGACAGGGCAGCACCTCAGAAGAAGTAGAAGAATAAAAAGTAAGAAACAGAAAGAGAAAAGTAATAATATTAGTAGTACTAGTAGAAGAAAATGAACAAGAGGAAGTAGCAGTAGTGGAATGTGTAAAAATACTAGAAGCAGTACTAGAAAAAAAGAAGTAAAAGAAGAAAAAGCAATATATTAGTAGTAATAGTAGTAGTTGAATAAGTAGAAGTTGAGGAAGGAGTAGAAGAAAACACAGTTAGAGTCGTGGGAACTTATAAAAAGTACTAGTAGTCACATAAAAAGTAGTTTGAAGAGAGAAGTTGAAATATTCGTAGTAGAAGAACAAGCGGTATGCCAACGTCCCCCATCGCTGGGGGGTTGAACAGTGAATGTTTGTAGTTTTGGAGATGAGTGTTTTTATGGGCTGGCAGTGAACAGGAGACTCAGACTGCAACATAAGTGGGCAGGAGTTAAACTACGTACTTTATTTGTTTTTGCTCGTCTGAAGCAGCAGAGTGATGAACGCTGGCGAACAGAGGGAGACATTTTATCCATGACCAGGTGCAATGATGGAGCCAGGGGGTGGCCAGTGGTGGCCTTGACCACCATAGATTTATCTTCGGACACCCCAAGGGCCACCCCAGTCATTTGAGGAAACTATACTTTTAAGCAATATAAAAAATAGAAAGTACTGCTTCCTCAAATTATAGGGGTGGCTGGTTTACTTATTTATGTGGCGGTGGCCATCTTGGATTTTGACGTGGCAACCCAATTTTCAATAGGAACCTTTCAAACGCCTAGATGCAGCCACACACCAAAATGGAAGTTCTCACTTATCGTTCCAAGTTATGCTTACAAGACGGGTGGAGACTATTTCAAATGTTGCTCCTAAACAGTAGTTGTGAAAAAATAGAAGAAAAATAAAAGTAACAGAAGAGCAGAACAACAAGAAGTAGTAGTAGTATGATAAAAAGTAGTAGTAGCAGTATCTTACTCCCGTCTGTGTCCTCCGCGTCATCCGGTGGAAGGTCCACCTCTTCGCTCTTGGCGTCTGAAGGGGGTTCCTGTGATGGCATGACTGGATCCTGGAAAAATAATTTGGCAATTTCATCTAAATATCCCCCGACGTGATCTCCCAGGTACCCGGCGACATAGCCGCTCATGCTTTTATACTCCTGGTAGAGAGCGTGCTGAATCATATCTGTAAGAACCTGAGTGGAGAACTGCATCTGGACAGCTGTTCTCTGGCTAACGCACAGAAAGAGTAACGGCGGCGAGGGGATTCTCTGGGACAGAGCGTTTAATCTCACGGGGCTGCGGAGTCACTTGTCTGAGAGTGAAGACAGCGCCGTGAATCAATGCTCTGACAGGGAGCTCAGCACCACAGCAAACACTATTGATCACATTGATTTCCCAATCAAGACTTTTATCTTTGGGGGCTGGGTTTGGGGGTTTTGCTCTGTGAATCGATTGATTACGTGGAGCTGAGCGTTTGTCAACCTGATGCTCTGTTCAGATACTGGGCAGCAGAAAGACGGCACTTAAAGAAAAGGTTTTCAGAGTTTTACATCAATAAAACTAAGATTTTCTGGTTGTAACTAAACTCTGAACATCCCATGACGCACCAGTAAATAAATCTAAGACATTTACAGAAATATGATGGCACTACAGAAAGCCCATAAAACCACTATTTGTCATAAAATACACAGAGCTGAGCTTCTTGAAGTAGCTGGAAACAGCCATTGCATAAAAATAAAAAAAGTCTCGTCTTTTGTTTGGAATTTGCCAAAAGGCCTAAACTAAACGAGCCTCCCCAGATGTGTGGAAGAATGTGGCATAACCAGAAGACTAAAACTGAACTTTTTGACCGATGACATCACTTCTCTGGCACCAGTTGAACGCCTCTCCTCTTGATGAGAACACCGTCCCCACACTAAAGCATGGTGGAGGCAGCATCATGCTAAGGTTGATGTTTTTCAACTGGTCAGAGTTCATTGAGAGAAGGGCGGCGCAAAATACAGAGAAATAATGAAGGAAACTTGTTTGAGCCTTGCAGAGATTTGAGATAAGGTCCACATTCCATCAGGACAATGACGTGAAACAGCTCTGGTTTAACGAGACCAGTTATGGGTCCTGGGATGGACCGGGCAAACCCCAGACCTCACTCTACCCTTCTGACCTGCAGGAGCCGTTTGGTCCTGCAGGAGGTGAATGTAATGCCAAGTTTTATATTTTTATTGCTTGCTTCAAAATTAAAAAGCTTGAGGTCCAATGACCAGAGCGCCCTCTAGTGGTTTTAACTGGACAATCTTAAGCGTGACGGGATATCTCAGAGTTTTTGTCAAAGTTGTAAGGACATTTTCAAAAAACTGTTTAAAAATATCTGAAGTAGAGCACAGGATCGATCAAACCATCTGTAAATATAAAAATATAAAAGTTGGGACAATGTTCATAGAAACCACTGCCTGTTTGTTTTTTTTATTACTGAGGCGTCTTTAAAATGCTCATTTATACACAGCCCTCATGATCTGTTGCTAATTAATCTAATACGTTGTAAAATGCTCCTGCAGCTGTTTTTATTATTATTATTATTATTATTATTTGATTCACACCATTTACTTTCACTGCCTTTTGTTCCTCTGGAACGACTTGTGTAAGATGTGCTAAAACCATAAAATTTAAAATTACCTTCGTCTGTCAAAACTACTTTGTAATTTCTTAGTTTGAACATTCAGTATATTAAATATGTTAAACATATTGGTGTATGAGATTTGCAAATCATAGCATTTTGTTTTTATTTACATTTTAGACAATGTCTCAACATTTTTGAAGCCGTTCATAGAAAAGCAGCAGTTTTTAACTTGTTGAACCAAACGTGCTGATGTGATTATATTTCAACGCTTGTGCTGAGCGGAGCTCACTGGTGTCATCCTGAAGTGTTTGTCTGGATCGGAGCGCTGGCTGATGTCTGGGTTTCCGTGATGGAGGACTCACCATAAGCCTTTGGCAGGTCTGAGGGAGGAGTCGGTGACAGCGCTTATGGACCAGCAGCTTGCAGTTGATACACTTGTAGCCCTGCCCGCCCAGCCCCCATATCCTTTCACTACAGTGGCCACAGTAGGCTTTCTAGAACACACACACACACACACACACACAATGTAAACAACATCAGGTCAGTCATTCAGTCAACACAGATTTTTATTTATTATGGTTTAATAAACAGAAAACAAGACCAAGTTAAATAAATGTAAAGAATGTGGAGTCAAAAGCTACAAATATCGCATCATTTAACGTATTTCTTAGATCCTTGTATACCGTTTCTTCTTACACTTTTTATTTTTGCTATTATTGGGTGTAACTGGGACAGTGAGTATCATACATCATTTTGTTCCGCCTCATGTGAATGACAATAAAGAACCTTGAACCTTGAACGATCCATTTTCCAGAGACGGAACAGATTTTCTTCACGTTCTTTACTTTTTGTATTTTGCACTGATTAAAAAGATCGTCTTCAGTAAAGTCACTAAAACAATCTATGACGGCTTTACGTGACCAAACATGAATGAGAAATGCTTAAGAAAAAAAAAACAGATTATTTACTTCAATTCAGTTCAGTTTATTTATAAAGCTCCAAGTCACAACAGAAGTCGTCCTGAACAGAAACATTCAAATATAAAATAATAATTGAACATTATTTATCTGAGGAGCAGCTTTGAGTTTAACTCCATCATAAACTCTCATCCTGAGCATGAAGGCGACAGTGGAAAGAAAAAACTCCCTCATGAGGAAGAAACCTTCAGCAGAACCAGGATCAGGACTAGAGGACCATCTGCTTCGACCGGCTGGGTTTGGTAAGAACAGATACACAATGGCAGGTCAAGAATCACGTTAAGATAGAAATAGTATTAAATGAAAACTATTCAATTTTAACAATTCATTTAAGGAAATGAGGTCAATTTATTGTTCAGTACTTTCACAAAGTAAAGTACTGGAGAGTACTTTACTTTATAGCTGTAAGAAGAGTACGACACATTATACGCAGTCGACTAAATAATGTACAGCAATCTATAGTGATGGCCTGGACAAACAAAGACCCTGCTTTAACTTTGACCTTGGAGCTGGGTTGATGAAAAGTGCACGTGACCCTCAGTGTGGTGACGATGGAAACGTGTTTTAAGTTTCTTTGAATTATCTTTAGCAGAGTGGAAGTTCTGGCCTGGACAACAGTTTACACGTAGATGTCTTGATGAGCGCATACTAATTAAAACAGCCCCGAGTCAGAGTTCAACACCAAAAATAATTGATTAATAATTTATTAAACACTTTTACAGGGCGGCTGTGGCTGAGTGGTTAGAGCAGCTGTCCTCCAATGAGAGAGGTGATGTCACAGATGTGTGGTTCATCAAGTTCAAGTGGTAAATGGACCTTTCCATCTGATCAAGATCCTCAAAGCTCTTCACAACAATCTGTGCCCCGTTGACCCGTTCGTCCAGCACTCTATAGATCTATAATCAGAGCTTTATCACATTCATGCACTGATGGGACACATCAGAGGCAATGAGGGGTTCCGTGTCTTGCCCAGGGACACTTCAGCACGTGGCTGCTGGTGGAATCGAACCCCCAACTCTGCTCTAACCGCTCAGCCACAGCCGCCCAAAGACTAAATCTCAGCTCATCGACGTCGTCATTTCAACATGCTAGCTTGGCCAAACACCGACCGGCCACGGCTAGATGACGTCCTCAAACACAAAACTACTCCATCATTTGTACAGAATGAGCTAAATGTTAGAGTGGTAGTCGCTGAGAGTCATCCTGATCTCAAACCCTGAGCCAGAAACTAAGTACAAAGGATCTGAGTTTAACCTCCTGAGACCTGAGCTCTGGTGTGCGATGCATTTTTAACATCTCCTGGATATTTGTGATGAAATGGACCTGGTGTGTGTATAAATAAAGCTTCCGCTTCAAACAGGAAGTTGTATTTTGTTACATGGTTATGACATACTTTTGTAAAATAAAATAATGGGGACAATGGGCTTATTTTACAGCACAACAACATTAACAGGCTTAACGTATAAAACACTATTGAACAGAGTGAAGTGGAAGGTACAGCAAGGTCAAAACGTACTGTCTCCAGATGTGGACGCAGGGTCTCAGGAGGTTAAAACATGAAAGCTGGCGGGTGATATGCATTCCTTATTTTTGTTATGAAGCCGTTATTTTCTGGGTTTTGACTTTTTCTTTTTAGGACGTTTGTGAAAAACAGGATAAAAACGTGTTCGAGCCACATGATGGACCGACGTGGTGTCACTTCCTCTTTCTTTTCATTTCACTCCAGCGCCCCCACATCTGCGACAAACTGAAACTGTTCTAAGTTCACTCTGTTACATAACCTGCTCTCCGCAGTTTGTTCTTTTATGAGCTTCTTTTAAAGCGCTTGTGTCGGCACCGCAGGACGTTTCGTTTGGACCTCGTTGTCCCCGACATCCAGGACTCTGTCAGCAAAATGTCTCCGAAGGGATCAAACACTTAAGAGTCAGCGTACGTCTCCATCAGTAACCTTCATTCACAAAGTGACTCTGTGTGTGTGTGTGTGTGTGTGTGTGTGTGTGTGTGTGTGTGTG